ATTATTTCTTCTCATTGACTGACACAGAAGCAGGGCACATTGGCTCCCACTGCTGTCAATCACAGCCAGTAAGCCAATGAGAAGAGAGAGGGGGGCAGGGCCGAGCTGCAGCTCCATGCGCGAATAGATACACAGAGCAGTGGGTGCTCCCATAGCAAGCTGCTTGCTGTGGGGGTACCTGGAGGGGGGGGGAGGGACAAGGAGAGCCTGCACAGGACCCGAGAGAAGAGGAGGATTAGGGCTGCTCGGTCCAAATCCACAGCACACAGCAGGTAAATATAGAAATGTTTGTTATTTTTTCTTTTAAAAAAAATAAGCTTTTAGAATCACTTTAAAATAATTTAGTTATATATTTTTAAACTGCTTAAAAAGTGTTAGCTGGAGTTAGGATTTAATTTATTAGTCCTGTATACAAAGCCCTTTCAAATCTATTACTCTTTCTAACACAGGTTGACAATTTTTCTGTCCAAGGGTGATTAAGCTGCTCCTCCATAGATATGGTGGAGGAGTGAGTGTAGCCATCCTAAGATAGGTAGTGTGGTAATGTTTGGATCTCCAGGTTAAATTAAAGGAAAAATGATGCAGCCACAATAGCTAATGACTGGTAAGCTGCAATGTATTATATTTTTTGTTCTTGGGTTTAGATTGGTTTCTATGTAGAGCTTCACCGTATTTTGCACTCTCCAATTTTAGTAAATCCTCCTATTGTAAGTTACGATATGTAGACGAGTTTATAGGAAGATATTGTAAAGACAGATTCCAAGTACCCATATAAACAGGATTTGGGAACACGGCCATAGATAATTTGATGAATACTAACCTGGAGAAATGTATGCCTTTACATTGGAACTTTGCTTTAAGCACAGCCATTTGTATTATTAAGTTGCACTCCTTTCACTGAGACATATTGCCATGGAAATTCTCTAAATTTAGGCTGTGGGAGAGTTAGGATGTGTTTAGATGCTGAAAAACAGTTGAATCTTTGAAACTTACCTCTCCCACACAGAAACTTCAGGAGCTTCCATGGTAACATATAGAGGCAAAACCAGACTGAGATAAAAAAACTTTTACAGGAAAAGTTAAGACTGGCATGCCACATCAGCTGTCTACACAATGCCTTGGGAACACTACAGTATACCGATCTGTGGTCATAAAGGGATTGCCTATTGTCAGAATTAGTCTTTTGCTGTAATTGATTAATATGAATGGGTCAAAAGCTTGCCAAGAAAGCATTCACCACACTATTACACCACCATTCAGGTAGAGTCCATGGATTCATGCTGTTGACCAGTGATGGGAGGATATGCTGAGGTTCAATTTGCCAAGGGTTCAGTGACTTGTATTCTGCTGGTTGAGAATATATACATTATTTATAAAATTCTACAAAAATCCATTACAAAGCAATTATATAATTTAGTAGAATGCTCAGATAGGTAGCTACAAAACCAACCATATATACAGTGGGGCAAAAAAGTATTTAGTCAGCCACCAATTGTGCAAGTTTTCCCACTTAAAAAGATGAGAGAGGCCTGTAATTGGCATCATAGGTAGACCTCAACTATGAGAGACAAAATGAGAAAAAAAAATCCAGACAATCACATTGGCTGATTTGGAAAGAATTTATTTGCAAATTATGGTGGAAAATAAGTATTTGGTCACCTACAAACAAGCAAGATTTCTGGCTCTCACAGACCTGTACCTTCTTCTTTAAGAGGCTCCTCTGTCCTGCACTCATTACCTGTATCAGTGGCACCTGTTTGAACTTGTTATCAGTATAAAAGACACCTGTCCACAACCTCAAACAGTCACACTCCAAACTCCACTATGGTGAAGACCAAAGAGCTGTCGAAGGACACCAGAAACAAAATTGTAGACCTGCACCAGGCTGGGAAGACTGAATCTGCAAAAGGCAAGCAGCTTGGTGTGAACAAATCAACTGTGGGAGCAATAATTAGAAAATGGAAGACATACAAGACCACTGATAATCTCCCTCGATTTTGGGCTCCATGCAAGATCTCACCCCCTTTTTGGTCAAAATGATCACAAGAACGGTGAGCAAAAAGCCCAGGACCACATGGGGGGACCTAGTGAATGACCGGCAGAGAGCTGGGACCAACGTAACAAAGGCTACCATCAGTAACACACTACTCCGCCAGGGACTCAGATCCTGCAGTGCCAGACGTGTCCCCCTGCTTAAGCCAGTACATGTCCCGGGCCCATCTGAAGTTTGCTAGAGAGCATTTGGATGATCCAGAAGAGAATTGGGAGAATATCATATGGTCAGATGAAACCAAAATAGAACTGTTTAGTAGAAAAACAACTCGTCATATTTGGAGGAGAGCAAAATGCTGAGTTGCATCCAAAGAACACCATAGCTACTGTGAAGCATGGGGGTGGCAACATCATGCTTTGGGGCTGTTTCTCCCACAAAGGGACCAGGACGACTGATCCATGTACAGGACAGAATGAATGGGGCCATGTATTGTGAGATTTTGAGTGCAAACCTCCTTCCATCAGCAAGGGCATTGAAGATGAAACGTGGCTGGGTCTTCCAACATGACAATGATCCCAAACATACCACCCGGGCAACGAAGGAGTGGCTTCGTAAGAAGCATTTCAAGGTCCTGGAGTGGCCTAGCCAGTCTCCAGATCTCAACCCCATAGAAAACCTTTGGAGGGAGTTGAAAGTCCTGTGTTGCCCAGCGACAGCCCCAAAACATCACTGCTCTAGAGGAGATATGCATGGAGGAATGGGCCAACATACCAGCAACAGTGTGTGCCAACCTTGTGAAGACTTACAGGAAACGTTTGACCTCTGTCATTGCCAACAAAGGATATATAACAAAGTATTGAGATGAACTTTTGATATTGACTAAATACTTATTTTCCACCATAATTTGCAAATAAATTCTTTCCAAATCAGCCAATGTGATTGTCTGGATTTTTTTTTCTCATTTTGTCTCTCATAGTTGAGGTCTACCTATGATGCCAATTACAGGCCTCTCTCATATTTTTAAGTGGAGAGAACTTGCACAATTGGTGGCTGACTAAATACTTTTTTGCCCCACTGTACATATCAGCCATACTGTTATGACCACCCACCTAATATTGGTTACTGATTACTAACATTTATAGGTAAAGTTGATCCAGGGATATCTTATTGCCTCTCGGGGGATCAGGAAGGAATTGTTTTCCCCTGCAGGAGCAAAATTGAATCATGCTTTGCTGGTTTTTTTGTCTTCCTCTGGATCAACTGCTGGTGTAGGATTAGAACTTTTTTTTTCTGTTCACTTGCTGCCTAATATGTCCCACCGACTGTAAATTTATATTTTAGAAATTGGCCAATCTCTACTATCAGCAGAACACAAAAAGAGATTATACTTTGTTTTATTTGAAACTTTTCCAAACCTTGTGTATTGTTATCAACCACTTTGTTTCATTTGTTAAAATTCTAACCCTTGTATAATAGTACAACCCACTCACTGAGTACATATTTATGTGTTTGGTTGCTTTAGCACTGACATTGTTCAAGTATGGTGAGATATTATTTCTGATGCTGTGAAGTGACTACTTACAGTCTGTCACCTTAGTATTTTTTCTTATATTGTAAGCTCCCAGGATCAGGCTCTCCTAACCCTCTTGTATTGAACTGTATTGTCTCCCGTTATATTATAAAGCGCTAAGCAAACTGTTGGCGCTATATACATCCTGTATAATAATAATTAAAAGCTTCTCATATATACTTGAAAATTGTGGGCCAAACACTGAATAAAGTTTACAAATTCAGGTTCAGAGGTCACATTCTGATTCAGACTCAAATGTGGATTATACATTTCAGTGCCATTATAAGAGCTTTTTTTTAAGGGCAAAGTACATTTTGAGTAAAGTTCTTCTTGAGATCACAAGGAGTCAAAAATGGTGTCTTAAAGGGTTTCTCAACTTTTGCAGCCAAATTGGGCTAACACTTACTTTGTGTTCATGGCATTGTTATACTTACCTGCTCTGTGCAGTGGTTTTGCACAAAGCAGCCCCGATCTCTCCACTTCCCCGTCAGCTCTCCTGGCCCCCCCTGCTGAGTGCTTCCAGAGCAAGCTGCTTGCAGGCACGCTCCCATGTCTCGGCCCCTCCCCTTCCCTCTCCTGATTGGCTTACTGGCTGTGATTGCCTCAGCCAATCAAAAGTGAGAGACCCTGGAGAGCAGAGGCTCTCGTGGACATCGTTGGATCGAGAGGGGGACTCAGGTAAGAACTGAAGGGGCTGGTGGAGCTGTTGCACACATAAGGTTTTTTTTTTTACATTCATGCATAGAATACAGCCTTTAGAAGCACTTTAAATGTATCTAAGGGAGGGTAATGGTTTGCCTGCCATCATCTGTAAAAGTTTTTACTCTGGACAGGTATATTGTATTATTTAAAAAAAATTAATTTTGGCAGCTTAAGACACCCAAACATAGAGCGCTTACACCAGGGGTGTCAAACTGGCGGCCCTCCAGCTGTTGCGAAACTAAAAATCCCATCATGCCTCTGCCTTTGGGAGGCATGCTTTGTAACTGTCAATTTTGCAATGCCTAATGGGAATTGTAGTTTGGCAACAGCTGGAGGGCCGCCAGTTTGACACCCATGGCTTACACTCTTAAGGAAGGTAGCCTATGACTGCATGGGTGCACTTGTGAACTCAGAATGACATTGTGTTGTGCATTTTGAAAATGTGTGGCTGTCATTGAGAATGCAAACAAACTCTGTGTATGAGGCCCCACCTGAATCTGAAGTGCCCGGGGCCCCCCAAGGTCTAAACTTGACTCTGCTTACCACTGAAGAACAGGAACATATCCCAAGAACAGCAGTGTTGGAATTTCTCTGACCTAGTCATTTAACTATTACAGAGTCAGAGTCAATCAAATCCTTACATTTGCCCATTTTTTCAACACATCAACTTCAGGGACAACATGTTCACTTGCTGCAGCCTACTATATCCCACCCAGTTTCAGTTGCCAGTGTACCGAGATAGACAATGTTGTTCACTTTACCTGTCAGTAGTCATAATGTTATGGCTGATCGGTGTATACATTCTATAGTGTCAACCAGGAGCGGACTGACAACTCATGGTGCACCCGGGCAATAGGGAATCATAGGGCCCTATTGCCCTGTGTCCTTGCCCAAACTCAAAAAAGCCTATGAAAAAGGTACCAGGGGCATCTCATGGGGCCCCATAATGACCCCGGGCCCTCAGGCAGTGCCCAAGTTTCCAAATGGTCAGTCCGCCCCTGTTACCAGCATGGAGTATATAATGTACATCACAGTGTGCAGTGTGCTGTACCCATTAATGTTTTATTAATCTGACTTCACAGTAAATCATTAGGGTTTTGCTCTGCTTTACTGAGAAAGCCTCATAATGGTATTCAGTTTTGAAAGTCACCGCAATACTATAAAACTGTTTAATCAAGTGGCATCCTGCGGTGTCCATCATTCCTCAGCGCGTTTTTATGTTTTCACCTACAACGCACCTGCATCATGGCTTACTCAACATTTTTTTTTATCAAGTACCGTGCTTGACAATCTGATCTCTCGATGAAGAGTGAATAAAAATTACGAAACCCCCAGAGGTTAAAAAAGAAATAACTAAATAAATACTGTTGATGTTACTTGATGCAAACAGCAGGAAATATATTCTTTAAGACTCATCAGTAATATTGCATGATTTATGTATGCTATTTGGTCTTTACTAATAAAGTCCCAAAACAAGAATCAGCTTTAGTGCATTCTCTTACCGGCTCTCTGGGGTAAAACCATCTTTTTCTCCATTCATGCATGCAACTGTAAACAGAGGAAAAGTTACCGCTAAGAAATGGCTTTGATTACTGTACCTGAAAGGAGCAAATTGTTTGGCATATATTAGGGAATATGATTGAGTGCACCAGTTGGAGTATGTAGAAGTGCAGAACATTCTGTACCGAAAATGGTAATTCCAGCACAGTATTTTTCCCGAATGCTGTCATTTTGTTTTTCTTTCATATAGATTTTTGACTGAAAACAAAACACACGAAAGCAAAGTAGTTGTAGGGTTTTTTTTTTCCAAAGAATGTTTAATATGCTCATTTTAAAAAAAAATTGTTTCATCAAGAAATTAATATGACATTGGGGGGTAAACCATGGACATCAGGTTGCTTGATTTATCCTCCAGCCAGGCAACACTTCAAATAAACAGCACAAACATAAAATGTAGTGCACCCCCAAAGAGCTGCTGGTGAATATGGTCCTATTTCCCCCTTAGGGCACACACAGCATTTTCTGAACTCTTCCATTTGCTCCAAAGAACTAGGGGTTTCTTTTTGGGTATTTACTGGGAATTATGCACTTGGATAGGGAGGATTGGATACCCTGATAAACTGTAAAACTGAACAACTTGGGGGCTCCTCAATTTCTGGCTGCTCTGCTCAAAAAGGAATGTCCTACATATCGCTAGTCTGATGGTGACCTGTACTCCTTCCACAGTCACTATTCTTTAGCACTAGGGTGATCTACTCATATAGCCACAGGATCATCAGTTGCCTCCTGCCCATGTCCACCAGGTTCTTCCTAGTGAAGGAGATGTAGACTCACACCACCATAAGACACAGTTAAAAGGTACACACAGTCACTATTCTTCAGCACTGGGGTGATCTACTCACATAGCCACAGGATCTTCAGTTGCCTCCTGCCCATGTCCACCAGGTTCTTCCTAGTGAAGGAGATGTAGACTCACACCACCATAAGACACAGTTAAAAGGTACACACAGTCACTATTCTTCAGCACTGGGGTGATCTACTCACATAGCCACAGGATCTTCAGTTGCCTCCTGCCCATGTCCACCAGGTTCTTCCTAGTGAAGGAGATGTAGACTCACACCACCATAAGACACAGTTAAAAGGTACACACAGTCACTATTCTTCAGCACTGTGGTGATCTACTCACATAGCCACAGGATCATCAGTTGCCTCCTGCCCATGTCCACCAGGTTCTTCCTAGTGAAGGAGATGTAGACTCACACCACCATAAGACACAGTTAAAAGGTACACACAGTCACTATTCTTCAGCACTGGGGTGATCTACTCATATAGCCACAGGATCATCAGTTGCCTCCTGCCCATGTCCACCAGGTTCTTCCTAGTGAGGGAGATGTAGACTCACACCACCATAAGACACAGTTAAAAGGTACACACAGTCACTATTCTTCAGCACTGGGGTGATCTATTCACATAGCCACAGGATCATCAGTTGCCTCCTACCCATGTCCACCAGGTTCTTCCTAGTGAAGGAGATGTAGACTCACACCACCATAAGACAGCTGGACTCCTCCCCATCAACTTCCTCCTGTCTCTCTCCGGGGAGATGTGTCAGACCCGAAGTGGAGTTGCAAATCCCAGCTGGGACCTCAGTGTCTTCCTGAAGACTTTCTCTAGAATCCTGCACCAGGAGCAGAGCCCATGCACAAAGGTCTCCTCCTGCAGGACTGGACCCAGGAACAGTGCACCCTGTTGCCCAGGCCTTTGACTATTTATGGACTCTCTAACCACCTACTGGGTACACCTCCCTAGGGATTGGCTAGAGTCCCATAAATATTCAGGTGCCTTCCTCTCACAATGATTCTTGAATCCTCTGCAAGATGGGAAAAAGGGGGGAGCAGCAGCCTGCAAAACATTATGTAGCCCTAAATATTCAACCTGCTCTTCTGATTACAGGGGAGTCAAACTAAATTTACCTAGCAGCCTACTCTATAATAGGAGGGTGCCACACAAGTGTAAAAATTTGTGCTGCTCACTGCAAAGTGTAACTTTTGTTTGAGAAAAAAAGTTTATCCTATGGGTGATTTATGTATATTGAAGGGATTTTAAAGAAGAAATCTGGGCAAAATTATTATTTTCCTGCGTGGGTTAAAAGCTCCTTTTTTGTCTAGGGGTTCAGAAAGAAAAAATATGCTTACCTAATCCACCGATCCCCCAAGTGCAAAACTGGTCCCCACCGCTCCTGCCCCCCGCATGCTAGTGGTCTTGTGAATGGGCTGTTCCTGACGTCATCTCACCCATAGACTGGCTCCGGACATGAGGATAACAGGAACAGTTTCCCCATTGGACGTGGGGGGGGGGGGGGGCGTGGTTTTCCGGAGGGTTGGAGGGACAACATGAGCACTTAACACATGCAGGGCAGAATAGTCGCACTGCAAGGGGAGAATACATTTTTTTTACTGGAGTTCTGCTTTAAGAAACTTGATTGCAGATTCCTAATTTTTCGACCCAGAAGAAATAGCTGTTTTACCATGCCCTTTGCAAACTGATTCTGAATTCCCAATCACAGGGGGTGACTATTATTTGACTTGTATCTTAGTGTAGACTTCTGAAAAAATCAGTGAAACAATCACACAAGCGGGAAATGACTTTTCTTGTGGCAATCCATACACCAGCAGAGTACAGAACGCCATACTGCATTGAATTTTTCAGAAAATGACAGCAATTGCAGATTGAAAAGGAAAGATATTTTTTATCAACAATAATATCTTTTCTTTTCATTTTGGATAGAGTAAGAGGGGGTTATAACCCGTGTCAGATTTTGTTTTCACCATCTGTGTCCCATTTGGGAGATTTACTATACCTTCACTTCTTGTCCCATAATCAAACAGAAAATGAAAGGAAAACCCTGCAAATTAAGGCAATCTTCTGGGTATCCCCCAGGTCACCAGAACTTGTGTCCTTTTTGGAAGATGTCCCCTCAATTGCTTTTCTTGGGACAAGCCAAAATTTGGGATTTTCCTTCAATGATAATAGTAAGCAGAACGAATACCCTTGAAAGTGACCATATAAAGCCTGCAAAAAATGTATAATTGCAGATTTGTGTAATTAACAAGCTTTTTTTTTCACTCATCTGGTGACCCAAGTCTCATACAAGTCTCTTGACAGTCACCAGCTCTCTGCTCACAGAACACTGAGAACTGAGTGATCAGAGGTCTTTGATCACTCAGTTCTCTGTTTTAGAGGCATCGGGGGACAGATGCAGCATCAGACTGATGCTGCATCCACCTAGGTGAGTATAACTGTTTTTTTTTTTTATATTCCCATACGTCTCTTTTAATATTACATGAAAAATGAATTCCATTATCTGTATAGCACCATAGATGGCTCTTTAATTAGGCTAATTAGGTGTAACTTCTCCAAGCAGTGATGCCAGTGACAAAAAGGAAAATTTTCTGCTGTCTGTAAATGGTAGAAAAGTGCCTGTAAAAACTCCTCTTGCCTCGAGCTTCCTCCCAACCCCCCTCCTTGTGCACCTGACCAGTAATTGGCTGAGCTCAACTTGGTCATGGCTGGGCTTGGCTTCATCATGGGAGGAGGGCTGCCATTGGTCATGTGTGCAAGGAGGGGGATGAGTAGTGACCCTAAGGTAAGGGGGGACACTGATATAAAGGCCCCCCTTATATCCGTGTCCTCACTCCCCTCTTACATCAGGGAAATCCTTACTTTAGTGTTTTCACTCTGCAGACTCTGGTGTAAAGGGGAACTCTGATGTAACAGCCCCATTTCATCAGAATTCCCAGCATTCCCATTACAGTGCAAAGAGAAACTTTGCAGACTCTGAGGTAAGGAGGAAATTTGCAAACTCTGATGTAAGGGAGCACTATGGTGACCACAGAACATCTTACATCAGAGTTTTCCTTTACACCAGAGTCCGCAATATTCCCCAGTACATCAGGTTCCACAGAGTTCCCCTTTACATCAGGGTCTGCAGAGTTCCCCTTTACATCAAGGTCTGCAGAGTTCCCCTTTACATCATGGTCCACAGTGTTCCCCTTTACATCAAGGTCTGCAGAGTTCCCCTTTACATCATGGTCCACAGTGTTCCCCTTTACATCAAGGTCTGCAGAGTTCCCCTTTACATCAGGGTCTGCAGAGTTCCCCTTTACATCAGGGTCTGCAGAGTTCCCCTTTACATCAGGGTCTGCAGAGTTCCCCTTTACATCAAGGTCTGCAGA